AAATACGTTATTAATTTAACATGAATGTTACTAGAAATGAAATTTATGAATCTGATTGGCAGCCCGCCCACCATAAATATAGAAGGCAAAAATTCTTACAATTTCTATAATGGATAAGATTTGAACTGTGGTCTCGCATATTTTATCTCACCTTTTCAACCAATGAATATCTTGTGGATTTTTTTAAAAACCTTTTGTGTTAATTTATAAAACATGTAGATAATATTCATTTTAACTTTAAAATATTTCAAAAGAGAGAATAGCAAGAAGAAATAAAGATAAAGAGAGTTTAACATGAGGTTGGCTGTAGGGACAAAAATGGAAGTAAGGTGGAAGGGTAGTGGCCTGGAACTATTTTTTTTTTAAGTGTTAACCACAGGAATTGTACGAAGCCAGAACAAAAGGGCCCACTAGCAAGTGGAGCCAGAGACGAAAGGGAGAAAATAAATAAAAACAAAGCAAAGGGGGAAAAACCGACGTAACGTATCACTGACAAATCTGCTGCTCGCCTGCGCGTACCAGAACGTCCTGTCTCTTTCACCCCTCGTCTCCTTGTGCCGCGAAACCCGGACTACAGTCTTCCACCCCTCGGCAGGTCCCACTCTCCTCCACATGGCACCCCGCTCTCAACCGCCCAAGTCCTAATGCAACGATACTTACCACCTCTCCTTTCCCAGAAGATCCCATCCCAATCCCACCTCTCTTTTCTTGTTTAACAGCTGGGTGGTGTTAGGGAAGATTGGATATACATATTTCTCACCTATAAGTCACTAATTTTTTTCAAAGATAATTAAATCTTATATATTCCGAAAAAAAAAACATTAGAATCTTTCAAATGATTTCGAATCTATCGAATAAAAGCAATTACAACTGTAAAAAAAAAATAATTCATAAAAAAAATTATTTGCTGCGCCATGAACAGTTCAATTATAAATAGGGAAAACAAAATATATCATTCACGATTTAATATATCTTCAAAGGGTAAAAATAATTTTTTTTGCGAACGATAAAAAAAACTTGATGGATTATATTCTTACTGATAAAACTTTGAATCCAAAAAAGAAAAATATATATAATAGTGACTTGAGTTGTTAACTGCTATTGTTACTATTACGTTAATTGTCAAATACACTTTTTTTTTACACCTTTTATTGTGACCATGAAATAAGTAAGCAAAGCATGCTCACCTTAAGTAAGCAAAGCAGGCTCACCTTTAGGTGTAGCACTTAGCTAGCTTACCCTTCCAATTTGGGTATCCTTTTGAATGCTGCTTAAAACTCAATCAGGTCTATTTATTTACTCCTCTCTACTAGGTTCATCTTTATAGAAAATAGAGCACCGAACCAAAGACTAGTTTCTCATTTTGTTTTGTGAACTATGACGTAATGGGAATCAGAATTTTCTTGGGAATCATCAACGCTTGGAGAAGGTAACTATTAATTTGATGATGATCAAACGGTCAACCTGACGTCTATCGACGGGGGAGGGGTTCGCTCTAGAACTTACCATCAATAAATAATGGCTTCTTTAATAACTACTCTGTTTTAGCAATATCTTTGTAATAATCAGCTTTTCATCTGTAGTCACTTCCATACAGTTTATTACATCAAAGAGGCAAAACCACTACAGTATTTCTATTTACTACTGTATCCGTATATGATTATTATACTGTTGAATTTGAATTTAATAACCAATATTTCTTTTATATTCATATTTTGATCCTTTTTTTTTTCCCATTATAAGGATTTCTCTTATCATGTTAAATGTTAATTGAAATTAAAATTTTTAGAATAATTTTAAAACACATTTTATATATTATCTTGATGCGTAAAGAGAAATTTAACAAATTTACTTAAACATTAATTTTAATTTTTTTTAAAAACAATTTTTTTTCTTGAAGTTCATTAATATGATTCCGACATTCTAGACATATGCTTTATATGGCAGTTAATGGAAGAAGAGGGCAACGGGAAGTGAGACAGGAAAACGGAGCGGTTAAAAGGAAAAAAAAAAAACCACTTGTAATAATACGAAAGTTTGTATAATGAAAATTTTGCTATTATGCGCAGGAACGTCGGACTTACAAGCGGACTCGTCGTTGACTTAATAGGAGTATTAAGTCAAGCAATAAATTAATTAGGAGTTTAGGATCTTTATTATGGAATTATTTTAAAGAGTAATTGTGTTAAGAATATGAGGGACCACGTGTGTCTGATAGTGGCTTTTCCCGATAACATAAAATCGCTGTATCCCTCAATTTCTGAATCCAGGTGGCACATGCATCCTTTATATAAAAACCAAGATAAAAGTTGACTCGATTAAAGTCAGAGATATGTATGGCTGTGATTTTGCCTTCATTACCCTTTAAGGACAGGCAGGGTTTGGTGTTTATTTATTATGGATTCACGTCATGTGTGTTTAACCTTAAAACAGCGGAGCCCGCAAGATTATGGGAGGAGGAGGAGTAATCAACCCTCAAAACGAAGGTAGCGAAATGACGGAATGTGGCGCATTTTAGCGCATTTTAAGCGCTGAAATCGATCGTACACTTCTGTCTCTCTCTCTCTCTCTCTCTCTCTCTCTTCCTCTATAAACAGCACTAATTTAATGCGCTTCTTACCTCCCTGATCCCTCTTCTCCATTCACCGATGCCTACTCTCTCTCTCTCTCTCTCTAACTCAGCTTTGTCTTTTTCTTCAAACACTGTAAGTTGCTGTTGTGGAGATATATAGTGGTGGTGGCGGCGGCTGTGGTGGAGCCGAGGAGGAGCACCGGAGTAGCTGACATAAGCACATTCCTTGTTATTTTGTTTGTTGGTTAAAAATTTTAGTTTTTGCCCTTGTCATTCGCGTGCGCCCTTTTTTTAGCCTAGTGTCAGTCGTCAGATCTCTCTCTCTTAACACTTTCTATTATATGAATATGTTTAAAAATTCGAGTTTTGTAGTGTTTTTCTCGAAAAATTAATTTTATTTGCAGTCTCAAGTCTAATCTCTCGTTTCTGTTTCTGTCTTTGCTCTCGTTTTCTGGTCCCTTACTGCTCCTTTTCTCTCTAGCCAGTATCTAGTAGCCTGCAATAGCCAGTAGCCAGGCAGGCATACTCTACTCTAGGGTGGGTTTGTTTTAGCTTGATTCCATATTATATAAATTAGCAGTGTTTCATTCGAGATGCGTCGAAGAGGAGGTTCGGTTTCAACTACTTGAAGAAAAATGTACGTGAGTGTGTTCTTCTTAATAGGTTTTCTTTGGATCTAAATCACTGAAGCTTCTGCCTTGCGAGTAGTTTTCAAGGGTTTTATGTTTTGATTTTTTAAACCTAAGCAACTGTAAAGATTTTCATTCAAAATTCACAAACTTTATTTTGTCAGGCAATGAAGTGTTGTTGTTGTGTTTTTTTTTTTTTTTTTGCCGTCTTTTTTTTTTTTAGAGAATCTGTTGTTTTGATGGAACAATACTATTGCTAATATTTTTGAAAAATCTTGTACGTGATAGCTTAAAAGATTATGTTTTCTGATGCCTCTGATTTCTATTTTTCGTGGCTAATAGTTGTTTTCTAAGTTTTTCAATGACTTGATATTTGAAAAACCAACAATTAGATTGGGAATATGGTGTTAGAAATTTGGTTGCTTTTCTGCTTTTTTTTGGTGACGTTGTTGTTTCTTTGATTGATATTAAGAACATTGAATCATACAATTAACAAGTTTTGCTATTCACACCTTAATCATTGCTCAGTGATTATTAGATGCTCATGACCAAAGTACTATTTTGTGCAGCAAATAAATTAACAAAGATGCATTTGTTGTTATAATATGCCTCGCTTTTAATGCTAAAGTTTATGATTGCTTGAAGAATTCTGGTAGACATAAGTGAGGTTACCCTGAATTCTTTTGGGTTTACAAATCATTGCTAACGTGTTTTTGGGGGTTATGGTAGGGAAAGCAAGAAATTGGGATTGGGTATTTGAATTTGGTATAATGGACTCGGATGATTTTCTCAATTATTGGGACACACAACCTGTTATTTCATTGCTGATGCCTATGGCCCAATGCCACTGGTGCATTATTGGTACTGAGTATTTATAAATATTGAGTTGGTTGTTTTGTCACTCTTTGGAGCATTTCTCTGATATTTCTGTTTTTCGGTTCCCCCACCAAGTTATTGCTGTTTATCATTTATATGAGTTGTTTGTTGGTGTCAACAGTGTTCATTGGGTACTCTCTGGTTTTAATTAATGCCCAGTTGTACTAATACATATAGATGCTTTAACATTATGATGTGTGGCTTTACTTCCTATATCGTCTCAAGCTGCTTACTTTCAATCCATGATCAATTTCTGCCCTTCACTGTCGTATATGCTAAAACTCTGATGGGTTTGTACCTCCCTATTAGCTTTGCTTGCTAGACATCATTTGCTGTTTGAGCTGGAAAATCTATAATCATGGCCCAGTAAATTGCTCAATATGCTATTGGTTATAATTGTTTACTTGTGGCTGACTTATGACAAGATAAGAAATTCCTCTTGCATATTATTCGATTGTTCGTTGCTAGTGATGGAGGCAGTGTGGTAGCTGCTGCTGTGTTTTAGCCTTTTTTTTTTTTTTAATTAATAATTCTCTCCGTTTTGTCTTTTAATTGACTTAATAAATTTCGCTGTTAAACCTGCTACTAAGCTATATATATATATATATATATATATATATATATATATATATATATATATATGAAGGCCAGCATTTCATTACTTAATTAGTACATGGTAGATGCAGGTTCTGGAACTTGTTCACTGGTCTAAATTTGATAATTTTGTTGGGATCCTTGTTTTAACATCTGCAGTGCGGACCGACTTACCTAGATGTTATATGTTCATCTTTGGCTACTCCTTGCTTTTCATTTCATGTGGAATAATAGAGTATTTGTTTGCATGTTCTGATGTTATGTTTTGATATTTTTCAGATACATTATGAAGGGTTCAAGGCAATGGAAAGTGGTGTCTACACCTAGAAATGAAGGAGAGGCAGCGTTGGAGAGCTGAGGAGGACGCTTTACTACGTGCTTACGTGAAACATTATGGTCCAAGGGAGTGGAACCTTGTCTCACAGCGCATGAACACACCCCTAAACAGGGATGCTAAATCTTGCTTAGAAAGGTGGAAGAACTACCTCAAACCAGGGATAAAGAAAGGATCTCTTACTGAAGAAGAGCAGAGTCTTGTCATCCGACTGCAGGCAAAACACGGCAACAAATGGAAGAAAATTGCAGCTGAAGTTCCAGGCCGAACTGCTAAGAGACTAGGCAAGTGGTGGGAAGTGTTTAAAGAGAAGCAACAGAGAGAGCTGAAAGAAAATAACAAGACAGTTGAGCCGATAGACGAGGGCAAGTACGATAGAATTTTAGAGACTTTTGCTGAGAAGCTAGTGAAAGAGCGACCTTCTCCAGCGTTTGTAATGGCCACTTCAAATGGGACCTTTCTTCATACTGAGCCCCATCCCCCAACTCCAGCACCAACTCTGCTCCCCCTGGCTTTCTAACTCTAACAGCCCCTCCACCGTCAGGCCACCGTCGCCCTCTGTAACACTAAGCCTCTCTCCATCAACAGTTGCTGCATCCCCTCCAATCCCATGGCTGCAGCCTGAAAGAGGTCCGGAAAACACTCCTCTTGTTTTGGGCAATTTGCCTCCTCATGGGACGGTCCCTGTTTGTGGTGAGAGCTTCTTAATGTCTGAGTTGGTGGATTCCTGTAGAGAATTGGAAGAAGGGCACCGTGCTTGGGCTGCACACAAGAAGGAAGCTGCCTGGAGGCTAAGAAGGGTAGAGTTGCAGCTGGAGTCAGAGAAGTCATGCCGAAGGAGGGAGAAAAAGGAAGAGATAGAGTCCAAGATCAAGTCTCTTAGGGAAGAAGAGAAAGCGTCTCTTGATAGGATTGAAGCAGAGTACAGGGAACAATTAGCAGGGCTTAGAAGGGATGCGGAAACCAAGGAACAGAAATTGGCGGACCAGTGGAGTGCAAAGCATTTGCGTCTTACTAAGTTTCTCGAACAGATGTCTTGCAGACCTAGGCTTTCTGAGCCTAATGGTCGTTAAGAAGATACCTTACGTCCAGCTTCATCAGGTATCTGGTTTGGTTTCATAGGGTTGTTGCTCTTCCATTCATTTTTTGTGTTTGATCTGGTTGTCCATCCTCTTATGGAACTCTATCTAATAGGCAACTATTATATTTTCATGACTGCTTATGGCTTGTTGGACTGAGTGTATTCAAGTTATAGCATAAGCTGACCACTCTTTTGTCTTGCACTCTCTCTCCCTCTCTCTTCCCCCTTTTCAGAGAGATATCGTAATTATATTGCTGATCGATGCCCGATATTTCATAGACCTGCTCGTGAATAAAAACATGTTCCTTGTACTCCATAGGATGCTGGAATGAATGCTGCAATGTTCTTTTTACATGGTTCCTCTGAAAGTGAACTATACATTTGTTCTACTGCTCGCTCCGAATTTGTGACACATGCAAAATGGCCCAGTAAACTGGGGCTCATCTATCTCTCTATATATATTTATGCATGTTCATCAACAAGTTCATGACGATCAAATCCAAAATTAGAAAGAAATTGATTTTCAAATGGACTACAATTTAGAAGATTTAACCCACTAAAAGGAATTGATTTTCAGCCTCCAGTTTATTCAAGACCTATTTCCTTAACTGACTTTATGTAATTTATTGTCACCTCTTGCAAAACCTGCACACTTTAAGGTTTTTTATCATCAAAAGATAACGACCCATGGGTTCAACAATAATAAGATATGGGTTATTTTTATCATTTTTTTTACTTCTTAAATCTCTTTTTTATGTTTGGTTTCTATTTCAATTTTGTCCATCTATCAACCTTTTTAGGTTAATGGTGTTAAATCACACTTCTAGTCCCACGGGATGGCGATACATGTTAATTTATTTATTTTTTCTTTATCTTAAAATTGTTTCTCTATTTATTTTTTTCTTATCAAATTTGAATAAATAAAATTTGAAAAAGAACAGAAAAAAAGTAAAGATATATTAGGTCATTCTTTTTAAAAGTTGAAAATAAAAAAGTGAAGATAACAATCTTTTTTATATTTTGTTATAAAATTTAGTTAATTTGACTTAAAGGTGGAAATATAAATTTTTTGTGTCATTTTCACTTGTCCTTTTTTAAAATGAAAAAAAAATTTCCAAAATTTTCAATAAAATTTATATTCTAAAAATCTTAACAAAATTTCTATTTATATTTTTAATATAATTAAGAAATTTTTAAAATTCAAATAAGTAAATTATAATAGATTATTTTGATGTATTATAAAATTATAAATATCTTTTAAAATTTTAACTAAAACTCTCATATTTTAGAAAAATATTACTCTTTCTGTTCTAAAATAAATATTCATCTTTCTATTTATATATGTCAAAAAATATTTATTTAGTCAAAATTTTAAATAATATACTTAAAAAAAATTGATTGATAAAGGAATCAATTTTTTCTTTCATTTTTTATTCTTCACTAACAAAAAATCAAATATTTTTCATACTTTTTTCTCATACATACACATATCTTTAACATTGAAATTTTAAAGGAGATTTTTTTGTAATGTAAAAATTATTCATTCTTGATTGTTAATTAAATTAATAATTTTTTATTTTATTTACTACCTTAATTTAGGAATTTTGAGAATAAAATATTTTTACAATTGTTTTAATCTTGATTGTTAATTAAATTAATAATTTTTTATTTGATTTACTACCTTAATTTTGGATATATTTTTTCCTTAATCAATACTAGTTCTATGTAATGTAGGATCAAATTTAATAACTAATAATTTTAGCGAAAAAGATATTTTAGAAAAATATAAATAAAAAAAATTATTAATGTGACATAACAATAGATAATTTTCTTACACTGTATGAAAAGTTAAAGGAGACAATATCTTTGAGACACGGAGTATAAATATTTTATTTTATACTCAAATTCTGCTTATTATGATAGAAAAAATTTAAATACATAAAAAATATTTTTATCTTAATTTCTTTTTTAATTTTTAGAAAGAATGTCATTTGTTTTTTATAAAATTCTTTTATTTAAATTTGGTAAAAAAATAAATAAATAGAGGGACGGGATTAAGAAAAAAAATTAATACTCGATGAACGAGATTAAAACAAAAACCAAACACAGATGGATAAACTTAAGATCAAAAAGAGTAAAGTGACACAATAAAAAAATAAAATAAAATAGAAAGACCCTTGCAGCCGCTAACTTAATATATAAAGCATAATGTAATCATCAAGGTTACACGACTTTTCTTTATTTTTACAGTTGAATTTATAGTTTAAATGAAAATGAATTGATGGTTGAGACAAATAAATACTTACAAAGTTTTATAAATCTTGATTATCTGTAAACAATCAAACACCTTGTGATAGAAGCATTTGATTAGTACTATCGTAAGAGTCAGTTAAGTAGATCACTTAAAACATGATAACTTATATGCATACTTTCTTTTACTTCTACCAAAGCTCTTTTTGTAAGCTGATAATTTTAAGTTTATTGGATAAAATAGATCAAATAACTATTCTTATTAGTAAGGAGAAGCATGGGTAGGAAATGAAGTTTTTTAGTAAAATAAAAAATTAAGTCAAAATTTCATTTAAAAATAAATTAACTATGTGCATTAGTTTTTTTCCCCTTGTATATCCTAATTACAGTGATGTTTGCTGGAGTTATTGTAGGCCACATAATCATGTTCAAGACTTCTAGTTAGTAGGGTAAATTAAAAAATTTTAAAATACTCAACAAGTAATTAACGATATTTATTCTATGAATTCGCTTTAGGAGAAAAATAGACATTAAAAAAAAATTACATCTAAATTTATTAAATGTGATAAAAGATATAAAAATAAAAATCATATCTAAATTTATTAAAAGTGAGAAACAATATTTTCATGTAATTTATTTTATTTTTATTTTATTTATTTATTATTATTATTTATTTTAATATTTGTTCCTATCTCTTTTAAGTACTGTCAGTTGCCACTTGACTAGAATAAAACTCGCGGATCAGTGAACCCGCTCTACTTCCAAATAATAACATTAACAGGAGGTACTCTTTAGAGATTTTACATATTCTTACGTTGCTAACCCTATAAATTATTATACACTTTTTCTATTTTAACTTAAAATCACAACTGTTTAATTAGTAACGAAACTTTTTCCAGTTAAATCTCCTTGCTTCTTTGATTGCGTATATAAAGAGTTTGTTCATCTTTTTAATTTCAGAGTTTAGATTTTTAAGTTTTTTTCTTTTGAAATTCTTTCAAATTAATTTTTTTTGTTATAAAAGAAATAGAAATAATAGGAGAATTGAAGAGAAAAAGATGAAGAAATGATTTCACTATAAAGAGAATATAAGAGATAACAACTCTAAAAAATTCTTACAATCTCTATAAGATGCTTGTACGCCAATTAATAAACAATTAAGCCTATTTATAGACTTCAAATTTGAGAACAAAATTGGAAGAGACTATGAATAATCAATTGTATCACCCTTTTAATTTCTCATAGTGAATGATGAATTGAATAATATCAAGAATAATGAGTAGTGGGTATATGAAAAGTAGATGAACATGATGATAGACATTCATTATTTCATAACACTCTCTCTTGAATGTCCATTGTACAAGGAATAAGCCTCGTTAAAACCTTACTAGGAAAAAACCCAAAGGGAAAAAATCCTAATGAAGGAAAAAGAGTACAATATTCTTTGTATACATTCATTCATATATTGGTCTCCCCTTGTTGAAATCATTATTTAAGATCTCTAAGATGATGCTTTCCAATCTTGTGAATCATCTTTTCAAAAGTTATGATAGGTAATATCGTAATGAACAAATCTACTTGATTGTCACTTGATCGAATTTGTTGAACATTAATATCACTATTTCGTTAAAGATCATGTATGAAAAATAATTTTAGTGATATATGCTTCATTCTATTACCTTTGATGTATCCTTCCTTTAATTGAGCTATGCAAGTAGTATTATCTTCATACAAGATTATTGAAACTTCCTTGCTAGTGGATAAATTACATGTCTCTCGAATATGATGGGTCGTTGATTTAGCTAAACACAATCTTGACTTGCCTCGTGAATTGATATTTCGCATGATTTGAAGATGTGACAACCGTAGTTTGCTTCATAGAACACCAAGATATAGTTGTATCTCTATATGTAAATATATAATCGATTGTGATTGAGCTTTGTGTGGATTAAATAAATAACTCGCATTGCATAACCAATTAATCTTGTCTTTGATTTATTTGAGTAATGTAAGCCTATATCAATTATTCCTCGAAGATAAAGTAGTATATATTTAACTTTATTTCAATGTCTCCGTATTGAGACAAAACTATGACTTGCTAATAAATTTATAAAAAAGACTATATCATGTCGAGTATTATTAACAAGATATATCAATGTACTAGTGGCACTAAGATATGATAATTCGGGACCAAACGAGTTCTTCGTTATCTTCTTGAGGTCGAAAGGGTCTTTTTAGATATCAAGTGAATGAACTACCATTGGGCTAGTCAATAAATGATTTTTATATAGAATCATTGTAGAACTTTTTCTATACAAATTGATCGATGAATAAAAGTCTCATTCTCCGAGTGCTCGAACTGCAGGTTGAGATAACATTTTTTTCCTAAGTTATTCATATCAAATTCTCTTTTTAGATAACTTATGACACTTGGAATCTCTTTAAGAGTTCCAATAATATTTAAGTCATCAACATATATAACAAATCCTTTTTTAAATAAAAATATATGAATAAATAGGGTTTTTTTTTATAACTTTCTTTCAATCAATAATCATTGAAATGATTATATCACGTGCACACGGGTTAGTAATAAATAGTAGATATAAAAATAAAATATAAAAAAATAGAATATAAATTGAATATTTAAAAACTAAAATAACAAAAAAAAATATACTAAAATAATCATAATAGAGATCTTTATAATTTAATGGAATTCTTTTCTCGAGAATATGTATTACATGC